CTTGCATGATGCTGAGATCAGTTGGCATCATACAAGCACCAGCTTCTGAGTCTGGTTTTGGTAGAAACATCTCTATTGTGTGCTGCCACCAATTGACAATCACCCCTAGACCCTTCACTAAGTTTGGGGGGGTGTCATTTAACTTGGAATATCCCTTTCACCAAACCAAGCAAACAGCAACTGTTCCCTTTACTTAAATACTGCTAGAGGTATGGCTAAATTTATACTACACCTTAAAAGTGTACTTAAAAGGCACTCATTTCACATGCTAGCAAGGTTATGCTCAAATCATACAAGGTAGGCTTCAGCAGTATGTGGACCGAGAACTCCCAGAAGTACAAGCTGGATTTTGAAGAGGCAGAGGAACTTGAGACGAAATTGCTAACATGCGCTGGATTATGGAGAAAGCCAGAGAGTTGCAGAAAAACATCTACTTCTGATTCATTGACTATGCAAAAGCCTTTGACTGTGTGGACCACAGCAAACTATGACAAGTCCTTAAAGAAACGGGAGTGCCTGATCACCTTATTTGTCTCCTGAGAAACCTATACGTGGGACAGGAAGCAACAGTTAGAACTGGATATGGAACAACTGATTGATTCAAAATTGGGAAAGGAGTACGACAAGGCTGTATATTGTCCCCTGGCTTATCTAACTTATATGCAGAATACATCATGCAGAAGGCTGGACTGGAGGAATCCCAAGCTGGAATTAAGATTGCCGGAAGAAATATCAACAACCCCCAATATGCAGATGATACCACTCTGATGGCAGAAAGTGAGGACGAATTAAAGAGCCTTGTAATGAGGGTGAAAGAGGAGAGGGCAAAAAATGGTCTGAAGCTCAACATCAAAAAAACTAAGATCATGGCCACTGGTCCCATCACCTCCTGGGAAATAGAAGGGGAAATATGGAGGCAGTGTCAGATTTACTTTCTAGGGCTCCATGATCACTGCAGATGGAGAGAGCAGCCACGAAATTAAAAGATGCTTGCTTCCTGGGAAGAAAGCGATGACAAACCTTGACAGCATCCTAAGAAGCAGAGACATCACCTTGCCAACGAAAGTCTGAATAGTCAAAGCTGTGGTTTTTCCAGTAGTGATGTGCGGAAGTGAGAGCTGGACGATAAAGAAAGCTAACCGCCGAAGAATTGATGCTTTTGAATTGTGTTGGAGGAGGCTCTTGAGAGTCCCCTGGACCGCAAGGAGAACTAACCTATCAATTCCAAAGGAAATCAACCCTGAGTGCTCACTGGAAGGACAGATCCTGAAGCTGAGGCTCCAATACTTTGGCCATCTCATGAGAAGAGAAGACTCCCTGGAAAAGACCCTGGTGTTGGGAAAGTGTGAAGGCAGGAGGAGGGGACGACAGAGGATGAGATGGTTCAACAGTGTCATCGAAGCCACCAACATGAATTTGACCAGGCTTTGGGAGGCAGTGGAAGACAGGAGGCCCTGGCGTGCTCTGGTCCATGGGGTCACGAAGAGTCAGATGTGACTAAATGACTAAACAGCAACACCTTAAAAGAAAAATAAACAAAACACTTTTGGTGAAACACATCAATGTTGTTTTGGTGATGCAGTCTTGAGTACATGCCCTTGTACTGGCCACTGTGTGATAATAATATCTCATGACCGCTATTTTCAAAAACAATAAGCAGGATTTGTAAACCAAAAACAGAAGACATTTATTTGAAGGGAAAAAAAAACTCAGAAAAGAATAAGAGGGTTCAACAGAAATGTGGGTGATCACAGAAGAAAGGAAGGCTAATTGCCTTAGAGAGAGGCAGGGATGAGCACCCCAGCCTAGGACACGTCTGGACCTTTAGTCCAGATGGGCGGGATAGAAATCCAATAAATAAATTAATAAATAATAAATGTCAAGGGGAACCTTTACCTTTACTTTATGTAAAGATTTACTAAATTCCCCTTAGACTTTAAATCTATGCATAAACAACTAAGCAATAAAATTCATCAAGAGAATTTTGCAGGTCTAACCAGTATGACAATATGACAATCATCTAACCAATATGACTATAATTGAATATATATGAAACTATTTAATAATCTTAAAGTCATTGTTATATTAGACTATTATTAAGTAGTTTAATAAAACTAAGTGAATATAACGATATAAACAAGAGTAATGAAAATCAAGGATACATGCGAGTCTTAGTAACAAGGAAAATAATACTTTGATAGAAACAAAGTAGCAAACTAATGTTGTGTCATAGCTTTGAAACACCTAGAAAAAGCAGAGGGGAGCCATATATCTTTAGAATTTTTGTGTTATGACACAAATGAGACTTTTTATACCTCACAGCACAGCAGGTCAGACAAAACAAAGAATCATTACTAGTTTTTGATCATACTTGCTTCACATCCTAGGCCAGCTGCACTCTAGTTATCCTCTGGCTTGTTTCATTGCTCATAGATCAAGTCAAGTTACAGGTAGCACTGGAGCAGGTGATTGACAACTATATCAGTCACCAACCCTATCAGCCGGAAAAACCTCCTAAGAAATTCATGAATCAACCAGATGTCTTAAGGGTGGGCCATCTTAGTCAGACTCCAAGACCTGCAAAGAGGGTCTGTTGTCAGCAAAAGGCAACAATCCAAGCAGAATAAAGGAGTTGCTGAGAACCTCTCCCTCTGAAAACAGCCCATAAGTCTACCATATACAGGTGTTGAGCCAATAATGTATTGAGATAGCTTTGTGGTTGCTATGAAGTTCTGAGCAGGCACCACCAGGATAGGCTCAGCATGGAGATTGGTTCCCCAGAACCATAGTCCTGAGTTTGGCCAGTGCCACTTTGTGAGAATTCCGTGGCCAACTTAGGCAGGGAGAATAATGGCCAGTGGGATGAAGGGTGCATCAGCAGCAACCCTATTGTGTCTCACTGGCCCAGCACGAGGTTCATGACAAAGCCTTAGATTTAGTGCCAGGGTGCATTAGCTGTGAGGGAAATGGAATTCTTATGGTTAATGGCAACCCCATCACCTCCAACTCCTATCCCAGCTCTCCAGTCAAGGTTGATGCAGCACCAGATACCTGGTACAGAAAGGTGAGATAGAGTCAGCCCTTTCAACCAGATCAGCCCCTCCATCGACAATCAAGTTACGGCTAGTAATTGCCTCATTAAGGAGCAGCAGCATAAAAATATTGATTACTACAAGCAATTACTACAAGCATTTTTAAAGCAATGAATCAGTCTAACAAGCAAGATTATTGAAGAAATAACAATTCTGTGCAATCTCCTATTTTGCTATCCATACAGAAAAGATTAAAGACTGACATCTGATGGGTCATTGATGTAAATACACCAATTGCAAGTGAAGGTAATGATGTCAGATTGTTTATTCTTCTGCTAATAGGTAGAGGTAGTGCTATCAGGCAAAAACAAAAGTGTCACTTCTAAGAACAGTCACCACTGCTTCCTAGGATGTTAGATAAACAAAACTTAGAATATAAATAAATGATGATTTCTCACATCACAATTAGAGGACGAAGCAGCTGTGAGAGGAATCTTATCAGAGGCAATAGATAAGGAAGTGGTTCCAGAAAGTAAATAATGGATCCTGCATAGGCTTTAACGATAACCTAGCTAAACATGGATGAAAATATCATGTATTGATTTTGTGTGCGTAAACATGCTTAAAGGCTCAGAAATGCTTTTCCTTTTGTATTTCCTTATTATAAGAACTCTGATGCTCTTTCATGTATTTTAAAGAAAGTTTTTACAGTTTTTGAAGTTTATAATCTTTTAGTTTTTCAGTGAAATATTATAGAGAGATATTCTCTTCCATATGCTTTTTAAATGTTTCTTTTGCATAGGCCCCTTTCTTTCTGAATCAGAAATGATTGAAGTTCTTGTCTTCATATTGTCCATTCTCTCACTTAATTGCTTAAAAAGAAAAGACGCTTTAAAAATAATTACTTGTAGTAAGTTTCATATCCATAATACAGTGGTGCCTTGCTTAACGATTACCTCGTTAAACGATGAAACTGCTTTACAATGAAGTTTTTGTGATCGCTATTGTGATCGCAAAATGATGTTCCTATAGGGAAAAATCACTTAACAATGATCGGTTCCCTGCTTCAGGAACCAATTTTTCGCTAGACGACAATTTTAAAACAGCTGATCAGCGGCTCTAAAATGGCCACCCACTGTGCAAAATGGCTTCCCCCTGTGCTTTAGGATCGATTCCTCGATTTACAGGCACCGGAAAATGGCCGCCCTATGGAGGATCTTCGCAAAATGAGCAGGTATTTCGCCCATTGGAACGCATCGGACCGGTTTTCAATGCATTTCAATTGGTTTTTAAATTTCGCTTGACGAGGATTTTGCTTAACAGCGATTTGAACGGAATGAATTATCCTCATCAAGCGAGGCACCACTGTATGAAGATTTGTGTTTTGTGTGCATATGCTGGTGTTTTATGTTTTTCATTTTTGGAGAATACTGACTTTCAGGGGAGTGGGTCACCTCTTATTCCTATGTAACACATTTAAAATGCAAGTGACCAATTCTTCTCGCCATACATGCAGTTTGAGAGAAAGCAAACAACCCATCCCTTTACATTGTCCCTTCAATCAATATGCAAACATACTATTAGCAGGGATACGTGTTCCTCCTTCTACACTCTCTGTTCTTGGTTTTATTTTGTCTTAACTGTTACCTTTTTGTATGCAGAACAAATAATCAGCCAGTTCCTTAAGATACAGGAAGTTTGACAATACAACAGTATATTTTCTTCCTCTCCCCCTCTCTCCCCTTGCCCCATGGAGAATAATAGAGAATAATAGGACAAAGACATGCCTGCATCGGCTATTTATAGGTAGGGAGGTTGTTGTTCAGGTGATTTCCTTTCAGACCCAAGTGAAAAGATTGATTCCTTTCTTCCCCCTTTGCATCTAGTCCTAAAGCTCATCTGATGGAGTAGCAAAGCAGACAGATAAAAAAACCCAAACACCAGCTTGTTTTTGTTCTTTAATTGCAGGTAATGGGACATTGATTGGAGCATCTGCAAATGTCGTTTGTGCAGGAATTGCAGAGCAACACGGCTATGGCTTCTCTTTCATGGAATTTTTCAGGTATATTTTTGACCCAGGGTGAATCTGTGTTAGAATTTGCCTCAATATATGGGAGGTTGCTTGGATTTTAAATCAATACAAATCAAACAGACAGTTTACACAACAATGAAAGAATAGCCAACGAGATATGAAGCATACTGCTTCATAGCTCCGTTTTAGTTGTACAAGTAATCTCTAGGCTGCAGAATTTTCAAGTTACACCATTCATTTTAAACTGCAGTGACGGGGAATGAAAAGAACTCCAGAGGAATGAAAAGCACTTCTGGTACATGAAGCCATATTCGAATGACAAACTTACAGTAAAACTTGTTCAGTCATGTTTCACTATAATGTCCCCTAATCTATGGCTGGGTAATTTCATGGCATCGTAAAACTAAGGATTTGGATGATGCCTATGGCCTAGGAAGGGCAGCAAAGAAGGATCTAGAAAAGATCACCAAGTCTAAGGATGTGTCATTGGAGACCACGACCAAGATCATCCACACACTTGTATTTCCGATTACCATATAAGGTGTGAAAGCTGGACAGTTAAGAAAGCTGACAAGAAAAAAAAACTGATTCATTCGAAATATGGTGCTGGAGGAGAGCTTTGTAGATACCCAAGATTGTTGAAAGACAAACAAGTTGATCCTAGATCAAATCAAGTTTGAACTATCTCTGGAGGAAAAAAATAAATAAAGAGAGAAAGAGAGAGAATGAGAGAGAGATAAAACTGAGCCTATCTTATTTTGGGCACATCATGAGAAGACAGGATTCCCCGGAAAAAAACAATAATGCTGGGAAACGTGGAAGGCAGCAGAAAAGAGGAAGACCGAATATGAGATGGACTGGCTCTCTAAAAGAGCCCACAGGCTTGATTCTGCAAGAGCTGAACAGGGTGGCTGAGGACAGGTCATTCTGGAGAGTGCTCATTCATAGGGTTGTCATGAGTAGCAGGTGACGTGACAGCATGTAACAACAACAAAGGATGATCTAGTTCAACCCTCTGTCCATGAAGAAATTCATAATTAAAACATCCCTGACAGATGATTATTGTGTTTGAAAACTTCCAATGAAAGAGGAAACTGATCCTCCTCTCAAGAAGTTCTTGCTAATGTTTGGTCAGAATATCTTTTCTTGCAATGTATTCAATTGGTTTGGGAGTCGGTACCTATTCTCTGGAACAGCAGAACACAAGCTTGCTCCATCTTCCGTGTGGCAATGCTTTAGATATCTGAAGATGTGCATCCTATAGCCTCTCAATCTTCTCTATACTAAACATACTCACTTCTGTCTACTGTTTCTCACAGGCACTGGTCTCCAGATCCTTTACCATCTTAGCTGTCCTCCTCTGTACATATTCCAGTTTACCAATATCCTGCTTAAACTTGAACTTGTCTTATTTGATTATAAGAATAACTGTGAAGAAATGTTCTAGAGTGATATCTGGGTGAGCTTGTTATAGCAAATAGGAATGTTAGCATCAATAAAATGGCATGTTGTTGAGGGATTCTTCATTCTCTTCCCCATTCTGTTCATTGAAGGGGTGGTTCTTCATATGTAAAATTGCCCTTCTCCACTTGAGGGACACAGAAGTCAACCAGTTCAAAAGCTCTATTGGCTCATATAGCTTATGAACCCATAGACTATAAGCTCATTTAACTTATGGTATATTAAAACAATGAGTTTCTTTTTTTTGGATACTGCTGTCAATGTGTCACCCAACTTTGAGCAGTCTGCTCAATTGAGTAGTCATTGTGTGTTTGTGGGATTTGGTGGCTGAATCTGTTTCCCCCCACTCTGTTGCTGATTTCTTTGGGACATTTGTACAGATAAACAAGTAATGTTCTGCTGCATAATATGTCAGATTTTGTAAGGATGACTTCATAGGTGCCTAAAGATATGTCCTAAATACTAAAGATTCTGTCACATAGCTGCAGCTGATGAAAAAGGAATTGAAGATGATCTCTCTCTCTCTCTCTCTCTCTCTCTCTCTCTCTCTCTCTCTCTCTCTCTCTCTCTCTCTCTCTCTCTCTCTCTCTCTCGCTCTCTCTCTCTCTCTCTCACACACACACACACACACACACAGAGAGAGAGAGAGAGAGAGAGAGAGAGTGAGAGAGAAGTCAATTTCTTCTGAATACAGATGAAAGCTTTTTATATGAAAGTTTTTCGTTGTAAATATGCCAATACTTGTCTAAAGCAACATGGCATATAGAAAGCTGTACAAAGGGAGAATCATGGTCTTTACACACATCCAGCTGTGTATGTACATATAGAAAATCTGTCACCAGTCTATTAATCACATGGCCATGTAATATTATTGCTGTCAGAAATCCTCTTGGTGCCCAGGAATAAAGCTTCAGAGAGTTTTTGTTAAAAGGCCCTCCTGCTGGGAAGTGTAGCCCTTTTCTTTTTAGCTACACCATTTTTATATGTTTTCTACAAGTGTTTCCAGAGAAAGTGCAAGGAACATAAATTGAGATCAAAGAGGAAAGAAGCTTTTATCAGACTGAGGATGAAGAGAATGAAAGATCCATTCTCTTCATCTTCAGTCTGGCTAGCTAATGCTTTTGTAACCACATGATGAATTTACCTGATATCAGTTTTTTTGGAACTTGCTGCAACACAAGATCAAAAGTCACAGAAGAATCTCAATGTGATGATCACTTACAAAAGGGGAAAATCAGCTTATTAAATATAGAAGATTAAAAACAAAGGCCAGGTTCCTATTGGTAGCTGCAGCTAGACTTCCTGACTCAATGGGAGTCTTGACAATAATAGTATATAATTTAAAATGTGTGCCATTATGTTGATTCCAACATATGGCAACCCTTTTTAGATGTAGTTTACCCTTCCCCTAAAAGGGACATGGTGGCGCTGTGGGCTAAACTGCAGAAGCCTCTGTGCTGCAGGGTCAGAAGACCAAGCAGTCGTAAGATCGAATCCATGCGACGGAGTGAGCTCCCGTCGCTTGTCCCAGCTCCCGCCAACCTAGCGGTTCGAAAGCATGCAAATGCGAGTAGATAAATAGGGACCACCTCGGTGGGAAGGTAACAGCGTTCCGTGTCTAAGTCGCACTGGCTATGTGACCACAGAAGATTGTCTTCGGACAAAACGCTGGCTCTATGGCTTGGAAACGGAGATGAGCACCGCCCCCTAGAGTCGAACACGACTGGACAAAAATTGTCAAGGGGAACCTTTACCTTTACCCTTCCCTGCTGGAGGTATCCTGGGACTGTGCAACTTGCTCATGACTATATAGGCTGTTCCCCCTCCCTCCCCAGGAAGCACAGTGCAGAATCCAACTCCCAACCGCTGGCTCCACAGTTGGATACCCAAACCACACTGTTCTATCCAGCCAGCTATAGGTTGACTTACCATTCAGCAGTTGCTTCAATGGCTTAGCTTTTAGTTGGGACAATGAAACTGGCAAAAAAAATTTATCTCCTTAATGACATTATCACAGGCTGGGCATCACAATACAGCTAAAAGTCAGATTAGTCTTTTAGCAGGAAAATTAAGGATGCAACGGGTAGTTGAAAAATGTATCATTTTCATCCCTTCCCAAAGAGTCCTTAATCAGGCTTCCCAACCACCAGAGAGGTTTCAAAGCTCTCCAAGATGATGAGATTTGGGAGGTTACTCCCAAATTATCTGCAACTTGACTTGATAGCATATTATTATTATAATGGTTGCTATTGTTGTTATTTTCATCCTTGCCGAGAGCAGGATGCTGTGAGATTCACATCCCTATTCAGCCAAAGCTCATCCCATGCCCATCCTTGTTGCAGAAGAAAGGTGAGGATGGTGGGAGAAAAATTCACAGTGATCCCAGTGAAGAAAGTTTAGGAATCCTGCTTTTACGGTATATACCACAGCATCTAGTTTCACTTTGTGAACAACAGGTAGAAGAACAGGTTCCTGCATGCCAGGGTGGAAACGGGAATGCTAGAAGGTTGGCAGCTAATGTTTCCTAAAGGATGGTTGGAAATGTATGTATGTACAAAATTTTGTTGTTCAAAATACTGTAGCCAGAAGAGCACATACTTTGCATATAAACAACCATTGCATTTCCAGGTGTGGCTGGAACACTTCTGCCTTAAAGCCCAGAGAGATGTTGGCCATCACTGTTAACACTAGACAGTTGGACGGATCATGTTCTAACTCACTACCAGGCAGCTTCCTGGGTTCTTTCCCTTGTCTTTGTGCTCTTGAATTTTGGGCTAGGTCTAAATGATTTCAATGATAGGTTGGGTCAAAGTATGCACTCTGGTAGAGATAGATACACTTGCAGTAGTTTATCTACAAGGTGTGAGAATTCCATTCCAAAACCATAGAAAGGAAGGGTGCCAAGGGTCAAAACATCAAAGAAATGTGTGCTCTGGTGGATGAGAGTTCAGCAGTAATGAGGTGTGGTGATATTTATTTTATTTATATTATTTATGTGCCGCCTTTCTGCTCATAGGGGACCCAAGGCAAATCACAACAATTGAAACTATAGAATGATCAAGAGTTTTAAAATGCCATAGGAACTATATTAAGACATTTAAACATTTACCCAGATTGAAGCTAAGATTAAACAGAATTTTTACAACACTTAGAAAAATCTCTAAATTTAATAAATATAGCATTTCCAAGATCCTCCCTTAAAGCTTCAATGCCTGCCTGAAAAGGAAAATCTTTATCTGGTTATGAAGGGATGAGAAGAAGGGGGGCAACCTGATATTTAAATCATAGTGTTAAATATTTTCTGTTTTTTTTTAAATGATCCTTTAATCTTTTTTCGCTTGAGTAAACTACTCCTGATGGTGTCTGGATTCTGGTGAAACACTGTGTAATGGAGAATGAGGGAGACATGTCAGTTAAGGTAACACAAGATTGGAGGAGATATTCCTATAATACATGTCCACTTCAAATGAGTAATACCAGTGTATCAGAAGGGTTCATTTGAAATGCTTCCTCCCCTTCTCATCTGCTATTGGCGTATCAAATTATCAATATTTCTTTTAAAAGGTAGG